CATTCCTCCCAGCAGAACCCTGGGAAAGACATGGAAAAACCCAATGGGATACTAGGAAAAGGGTGCAGGACAGCCCAGAGGGGTGAGGGAGGTGGTGAACTGGGGGTCCCTGCACCCCCTTCATCCCCCATCACATCTGCCCAATTTGACCTTGGCCCTGCCCCACTGCAAACAAATTTATGGAGCCTGGGAAGAGCCCCAAGATGCTGCCCACGACCCCACTCACCAGCCACCACTGAACCACGTCAGAGGAGATCTCGTGCGCTGCGCCCGTCAGCAGAGGCCCCATGGTCCTGTTGTAGCGGGCATTGAACCATGCAGAGCTGTTGGTGCCGGCGGTGCAGCGGGCAGCAGGGGCATCGAGGAAGGAGGGAGCCCAAGGGAAGGTGCTGAGGCCATCCGTGGGGGCTCGGAAACATTGCCACAGGACCAGCAGCAGGCACATGGCCAGCACCACCTGCATGCGCCTCTGGCACAGCATCCCTCATGCCACTGCAGCAAGATGTCACAGGGACCAGTAGCAGTAGCACCAGAGGACCCCCCCACCCTCCCTGCCCAGCCTCCTGGGACACCCCTTGGCTGCTCCCCAGCCCTCCAGTGACCTGAAATATCCTGGTACGCCTTTCCTTTTCAAACCTTTCAGTGGCTTTATTGCTGTGCTCTGCCCCCAGCACTGCCGCAGTTTCTTAGGTCCAGGCAGGGCTAGCTGGCAGCACGAGCTGTATGAGGAGCTGCGTGCTGCCTGCAACACTGAGGGTGCACAAACTGATCCGCAAACAAGCGGCAAAGCATCGTCACCAAACTCCATCTCCCCTCCGGAGTGGCAGCCACCTACCCACGACACATCTCCTCTGCGGGCAATGAACCCCCACGAGCAGCCACTGGGCACAGGAGCCCCTCGGCCTCACCGCTGCTACTGAGCCCACGCAGGCGCCATGCAGCTGGTGAGGCGCTCCCTCCCAAGCAGCCCTGGGGTTTTGCAGCTGCAACAGCACTGAATCACTGCCAGGAGGAAGGAGCAGGAGGTGCTGACTGCCATCTGTGTGCATGAATCTTTCTTAAATACCCATGTTTAAGTGGCATTTCTGTTCCCCATCTAAAAGCACTCAAGTAAACCTAAACGGAGAAGAAAAAGCATTTTCTCGTCGTCAGGGATTTCACAAAGTGCTCAGCCTCTCAAGTCCTGGCTCCCATGGGCCAAGGCGAGAGTGAGGAGCAGGGATGCAGAGACAACCTCTATCTCAGGGTCAGAAGCAACTGCAGCAGGTAGGGGGAAGGACGTCCCCTCTGCCCCTCTGTATCAGGAAATCTGAAGAAGAGAAAAACCCCTCCTGTCCTCACAGGAGCACCTTGTGCTTCCCCTAGTCCCTGGTGACGTGGGGCCACATGTCAGCACCAGCTTCATTTTTCCACATTAAGCATTTTTTGCGGCTCCTGCAGCACTGACGTACCTGCTTGCCGTGGTATCCAACCAGCTGCTCGCAAATCTGACCCTCAGGACATGCCCCTGACAGCAGAACTGCTGGTCCTGGGGGCCCAAGCAATGAGCAGAGACAGGAGAGGGGGGTGTGGCAGTGTGGGTATGTTGAGATGATCCCAGGTGGCTGCAGCAGGTTGCGCTCCCCTGCGAGCCTGCCCTGTCAAGAAGTGCCTAAACGGTCATCTTTTCTTGAAGGGAAGCATAAACAAGCCACCAGCAGCACTCCGGAAACATGGCTGTGGGTTCTCTTAAGCAGGAAGTGGCTACAAAATGCTGGCTTTTTTGCCCCACAGGCTCGAGGAGACCCTGGAGGCCCCCAACGGTCTCCCTGCTGGTGTCCACAGACACCCATGACTTAGTCTTTTGGCCTCCTGCAGCAGCCACGAGCATTTGCCATGACGGAGGCAGAGAGCATTCATCTGATGTGCGGGTCAGACCAGGAGCTGGCAGTCCCCCCAGGCTGGTTTGGTGCTTGTCGAGCCTCGGGGGTTATCAAGCCACAGCCCATGGAGGGGGTCAAGCCAGCAGCTCCGTTAAGCCCAGAGCCAGGGGGCTCAGGCAGTGCAATGAATATTTCATGAAGTTTTTTGCAGTCGCCTGTCGCCAGGGAGGGCAGGGCTCTGGGCAGGCAGGGCTGAGCGGCCCGCCCC